CTCTTCCTCTCTCTCTCTCTTCCTCTCTCTCTCTCTCTTCCTCTCTCTCTCTCTTCCTCTCTCTCTCCTCTCTCTCTCTCCTCTCTCTCTCTCAACGTTCTTCAGACATTGTTCGAAATCCTTTATTTTAAGGATTATTTTTAGTCAGAGTTATTAAGCGGATCGCTTTATCGTTATCACGAAATATATAATAATCAAAAAGCACTTAAAAATGAATCACACATTAATAATTTATTTTGTTAAATAGAAATCTATTGAAAAATACTAAGTATCTTTCGTATACCGTTATATTCGCAGCATAAAATCAGAATTATTAATGCATACGTCTATTAAATATTAAGTATATGTTTGAAAGACAAGAATTTGTTTAGTCTGCAAATGTTCTTAATCTGCCAGATAGTAGTCGTAGATGATTACAAAAAAAATCTATAAGTATTGCTGGATATACTACATACTATTGTGCTTAAAATAACTATAATAATAATAATAATAATAATAATAATAATAATAATAATAATAATAATAATAATAATTCGTACTGTATTGAAATAACGTGTATTTTTATCATACACAATTGCATTGAATATTTCTGTAAGTCCCATGTTATTTCAATTTAAAATTATACGAGTAGTACGTATTACACACTGCATTTCACTGCATTGTACAGTATCAAGTAATTTTAACCTTTGCTTTTGAGGTTCTTCTGAACACACTTCAGAAAAATCGTATGTTAAATGTAGTTGCCGCTTATCATTCTACTTTATTTTATCAACTGATTTTTATACTCCTTATTACCCATTAAAGTGTTCGACATCGAGAAGCCTTGACTTTTCGTACTCATCACCAAGGATAGGATTTGTATCTAATTACGTAGTCGTTTGTTCATTACTTACAATCAAACCTTCGTCATATGTTTAGGAACTAGGCTTTTTGAAGTTTTTGAATCATATACGATAATACTCATTTGTCTATATTTTCTTCAATAAAATAGTTCGCTCAAATACTTGCATGTAATAGTGGCCTGTAGCAGCAAAAATGCGTGCTACTTTGTGGCAAACCATTTGTGTGGTTTTGTTCATCAGCACACTGCTCAAGAACAACAAATAAAATGCTCTCATATAACACAGTAACAATTTAATTGTTTGAACAAAAACTGTACAACAGTTCTTTACATATCAGAAAAGTCGTTCTACAAAGCAACACATGAAACAAATATTTAATAGCGTGTGTGGCCTCTTCCTTGGAACCTCACTGTCGCATGACCCCAACTGTGTTGTAACCAGTGATGGACTGAGAATGGGAATTCAATCGGTTCGCGTAGAATGGGAATGGGCGGATTTACGCAATCAAATATTTGCATTTTTTAATCAAAATTGAATTTATTTAATTGTTTTTAGTATTTTTCCAGAGGTCCAGGCTATGTAACGAAACCAAACATCTCCCATGTCCGGAGTCTGCTTTTTTTTTCAGTGTCTCTGCGCTTTGGAATTGAGTAATATACATCCTTTTAAGGAATACTCACATATCGTAACACATTTCAACATTTTATTTACAATATGTTTCATCTTAGAACGGTATTTTTTTCGAAATTGTTATTGGACATGTAATTTTAAATAGTTTAGCGTTTAATAGTTCGCTAGCTTATATCACGTACAACAATACTTGCGAGGTGTACGCCGCCGCGCAGCAAATAGAAATGAGGGGGGAAGGCATTACGAGGTGCGAGGTTCTTTCTACCCCTCCGTTCGCCAGCGCTACCCCTTCGTGACTCCCCTTCGCGTGAAGGTTGATGAGACTCCAAGCCACGTGCCGTCGCTCTGCCACGATGCGATCTTCAGGAGTTTCCGTGTAAATGAGAAGTATAGCGTTCTTTGAAATGTGTCGCTTAAGCAGACTGGCTGAGCCTCACCTCACGGGCCAGCCGGGGCGTTTTGGTTTTCCTAAACGAAAAAGGGGGTGGCGGTTGTAGTAACAAAATAATTAATAGGTAACCCTTTCCTTCTATATTATTTTTAGAGATGCATTCGTCTCAAAATACGAAGTGTTAAAATAGAAACTTCTCCGAAACTAAACAGTAATTCGGATATAATTCACAGATTATACTCCTTATTTATGGAAGGTGGAAAGCTGATTAATGTTGAACTTTCCATGGCTCACGCAACAGAGGGGATGTCACTGATATACCGTTATTACTTAAAATTTTGTTTTGTTATAGATTCCAACATGAAGTTCGCAGAGCATCTTTCAGCTCACATAACTCCAGAATGGAGGAAGCAATATATCAGCTACGAGGTAAGTATGAAATAATCGCAAATACGAGTATATTTGGAATAAATAAGGATAAACATTTTGCACACCCACAATTTTAATATTCATAAGAATAGTTTGGAGAAATAATATTTTCTTTATTTATCCATTTGGAGTGTTTAATTACATTGAGAAATATTAGATTCTATATTTAAATTCAGTGGTGTGGAGAGACAATCTAGACAGTGTTTACCCGTTCAAGAAAAATAGAAGAAAAATATTAATAAAAGAAGGCACATTTCATCCCTATATAACATTTTTCTTGAATTGTGAGTCTGTTTCCAAAGTTGAAGTCAGACGTGGGCACGCCGAGCAGGCGGCCTGTCAGCGGGCTCGGATAAAAATCCTTGTGATGAACCTCATAGTACACAGATACCGATTAGTCTTCTAGTTTTAATTATCTCTTAGAAAATTCTGCGCACACAACCCACCAGAAATCCAAGTGATCAGCCAACGAAAAAGCACATTTCTGCAACCGCTTGGATAAACATCTTTCTAGCATAGGTGGAACTCGACCCCATTGGTTTCGCAGACGTTTACGAAGTAATACACGTTTTGAATACTCCAAGGTTAAATTTGAATGTTTTATTACATTTAAGTTTCTTTGAATTGTATTGAAGGTTTTTTGGATAAACATTTGGAGATCGCTTCTGAGGAAAATCAATGCCTAGGTGCTGCTATTCGCCAGTTTAATTTTGCCACGCTTCGTCACTGACCACACCCATTATAACAAATGAATCATACATTTGTATGTTAATTGCGTGAACGCATAATTCTGTTGTACTAAGGCAGAACCTGGTGTGTCAAGAAGTCTATATTTTGCTATTTGTGGATTTACGTTATCGTTTACGTTATTTACGTTATTATAAAATTTTGAAGAAAGGAAGAGGGTATATATTTGTGAAACATTTAAATGGCCTTCGAACGTTGTGTTTAACAGAATTTCTTACATCCCTGATTTATAAACAAAAAAATTAAAAGCCGACCTGGTCGCAATGAATTCTTGGCAGAATTTGGTGCTATTGAAACATCTAATGGTAAAGTTCCCACTACAAGAAGTGGCGTATGAAACTCTCCAAATCTTCCCAACCGTCCAGGCAAACGTGGACACTCTTCGATCCGGGGCAGGGGCGCGTTGACCAATCGCTACAGTCAGGATCTTAGTCATTATGTGATTGGTGCACTGGGCGGAAAAGACACTGTTCCCGGGAGCGGGGGCATCAGTTGTTTTCGTATGAGGCAGACGTATCGTCATATTTCCCTGCCGAAGGAGTGATTTTACCTGCGCGTACGTCATAACGGAAAAATATTTCTGAGCGGGGGCTTTTCGTCCATAAATTATTGTCAGTAAATCAATAAATATTAAGCGTTTAAGGAACAATTATACTACCCTTTAGCAATCATTTTGTAATTCCATCAAGCTTTTATATTAAATATAATAACATTGCGGCCTCGGTAGCGCGTTGAGGCAATAAACGAGGCCTCGTAGCGAAATGATTCTGTAGCATTTCTTCGAGAAAAAAAAGAACCGAAAAAATGTAACGTTTATTGGTAGTTCCGTGGGATTATTGCAGTAACAATTTCAGTCTCACGGCAACTATGACTAGTTTTTTAAAGATTCAACCTTTCTTTTTTATTCCAAATAGCCATTAAAACTCCCGTTTGAATATTTTAATTATTTTTTGTTATTAGTATATAAACATTGTCTGGTACATTTGATAACTCCGAGGGAAGCAGTTTTATGGCGAAATATTTTTTTTCGTTACGGCTTGTGCGGAGGCAAAATCACTCCTTCGGCAGGGAAATATGAAGATATTTCTGCCTCATACGAAAACAACCGATGCCCCAGCTCCCTGGAACAGTGCCCCATGGTAGCGTGCGCCAATCACATAATGACTCAGATTCGGACTGTAGCGATTTGTCAATGCACCCCACCTCCGGATCGAAGGATGTCCAAGTTTGTCTGAACGGTTGGGAAGATAGAATTCCACTCGCCAGTTCTTGTGGGGGGAACTTTATAATACGGTAATTTCGTGGAACGTAGTTTGGTAGTCGGAGTGAGTTTGGGGGTTGCTAGATTTGCAAAATACAACATCATATAGGCATCCTTAAATTTATTTCGATTGGCAGTTCTTGATTTTGTATGACGGGGGCCAAACCTTCGGCAAACGTATGCTTTTAAACGGATCCTGCTTTGGGTTCGATCGGTTTCACATAGTCCTCTCGAGATTAATACTTGTTACTACAGTAGCACAAGCCTTCTCGCATCATTTACAACATAGCAATTTTCGGAAATTCAGAAAGTTCAACGAAAGCTAGACGTGCGTCTAATTTTGAGCCTCCTATACTCTACTCGAGAAAAAACATTTAATCCAAATTTGGGCACTTTTGTGATGACATTGAAAGTGTTAAAATTTCATAAAAAGTGCCCCCAAAAATAAAAATGTATCAAATTCGCAGAAACGCGAGTTTGGCCAGGTTTAGTTGGGAATGTCAATTTTTGAGAAAATCGTTTGGGTGCTTTTGATCACAAACAGTTTAGGCGCTGCTGTTGGCCGCAGACGGAAAGACGGGCGAACGAATGGATGGACGTGTCGCTCCAAACCTTTTAGCGGTGTAAAATACCCACATGTTACAGGAAGTAATTTACTACTTATAAAAACACGATTTATCCTCTTTTTCGAAAGAAGTGGCCCATAATTCGTGTTTTTTGTCGGAAAATTGCCATTTTTTGCTGCAGCATTACTATACTTTCTCTAAACTGAAAATGTAGTACGCGAAAAGCTGTGCTTTAAATTTATTGTTAATGCAAAAGTTTAATTTCGTCCCGTCATTTTTGTTGGGTTATCTCTAGTTATAAATAAAATATTAATTTCTCTGACCTCGTTAACTTTCTAAAAAGTACTTTTACATCGGTTTCTGCCTTAGTATCAAAGAATGATATATGGATATATAAGTACTTAATGAATGTAGGCAAACATGTTGAATGATATTTGCAAGCAAAATTAATCGGAATGTCTCATCTTTTTATTAATATATTTTTTACAGTATACGTTTTTTATATTTATGTTAACATTATACCCTCTTACACTACCAGGAAATGAAGGCAATGCTGTATCGAGCTTATGAAGAGCTACCATCTGCAGAATCAGTCGAACCAGAAGTACTAACACGGCAGCGGGCCAATTTTGATGACCACTTCTTCTTGTACTGTGAAGCAGAACTAAAGAAGATAAATACGTTTTATTCTGGTATGTTTTATTATTTTGCTGTTCAGAGCGTAATGTTTGATGATTGAATTTAATTGAACTTTTGAAATCGCACTCACATAACATGAAAGACCGTGATAGTCATGAAAATATAAAATGGACTGAACGACTTGTACTAGCAGGTTGAATTATCGTACGTGTGATTTTAACTTTCATCGCTATTCGTGATTTGAATTCAAAAATCGTGTAAGAGGGGAAATTGAAAGGCCTCAGGAGACTGAACGCAGAATTATATATTCTGTCGCTACAATAAAATACGTGCAAGTCAAAATCTGACAATATATACTCTTTACCATAATTACCATGAACACCATAATTTAGTTGTTCATTTCATAAATCAGTGAATGTACTTTTACACATTACTTGAAAAACTTAAACCAAATATTGATAATATAATCATCCAACAGAACACAAAGATGGGAAAATGGTGTTAATGCATGGTACAATACATGATGAACGCTATGGGCGTTGTCTTCAGCTTCCAGGCATTTTCACTGACTCTCTCCTATTCCATATCTATTCATTGAAGAATGATGAAGAATCAATGGAAAGGATAAAAGCGGTGGTTATTCAAACTTGCAACGGATCCAGAAACAACTCCTGTGTGATGCGAACTTGAGTAGTTAACGTTAAACCGAAGCTTTTTAACCCAGACCATTTCTGAAAAATATTATGTTTAGCCTTGGAAATAAAGTTTTGTTAGTGTTGTTGGTCTAGGAATCAAAGTTTCCATAAATCGCTATTCTCACCAGGTACATTACTCGAATTCACTTGCCAGAAGTCAATTTCATTGCCCTCACCCGCTCCTGCCAACCCTCTCCTTCCCCTCCTCTAACCTCCAGCGATGGGTCATCCGCAGAGGGGAAAGGCAGAGGGAAAGAAGTGGCCCTGGCAATGCCCTGGGCATTCTCAGGGCCACCGTCTGGTTTGCACCGATGTATTTTGTGTATAGTGTAAATTACAATGTGTGTTTATGTGAAAGTGTGCTGACAATAAACTCCGTTATTCGTATGTTTGGTGAGTCCAAGTTCTTTATTTACCATTTTTTGCTCATTCACTGGATAATCTGAATTTTCGTTCACTGGCGATTGTTCGCGGGCGTAGTTGATCCGGGTTAACAGGATTCAATGGCGGCTCGAGCTTAGGTTGCACAACCTCCAGATAATCGAAAAAGATCTCATATCTAAAGAAAATACATTTTCCATTTAATGACATTCAATATTAAATTTATTTAGACCCTATATGTGACCCCCTACATGTCCCTCGATGTAGACCCTTTATGAAATCATTTTGAAACCATAGAGCGTCGAACTGGCGCTCCGGTCCCTTGCCAGGTATTCCACCACGCGCTTCGCTGTATTTCGTTGACTGCATTTACTTTTTGGCCCTTCGATTTAACTCTGGGAACAATTCTGTCTTTGGTGGCGCAACCAGATGGGTGACGCTGTCGAGCGCTGCACGGCAACAGAGGGGGTTTCAAGGGGAATACCAATATTCTGCCTTCGTCTAACTCGCTGCTACCTAATTTTATGAATTTCACTTGTTATTGAAAGAGAACAAGTTCAGTCAATTATTAAAGGCATTTAATGTATTATTAATGTTTTTTAGAGAATTTGTTTCATTTGATATTAGATTTCGATTCAAAATATACCCTTGCAGAATTCTTTGTTTTAAGTTAGCCGTTCTGAAAAGATGTCCTGTTCTGCGTCTCACGGTGGAAGCATATTGCATATTTCCAAGTGCAGTTATAATCGGAGAGCGCTGGTGGAGATACGACCGTGTGTGTGGAAGGATTTTTTGCTTCAAAATATACCAAGATAGTGAATTTTTTGAAATATAATAACTTTGTGTGAAACGTCGAAGCAACAGTGCTTGTTGCTGGAGTCGAACATCTGGACCCAGTGGAAATCGAAGCCAGAACCACGTGCGCTGAAGGTTTGTGTATCTGACGCAGGTACTACGCATAAAACTTACATTTTATTATATATTCGTATTTTGAATTTTGGAAATTACATTTCCGTCATTTGGTGGAGGTGCACCTTCGTCTGTAGGGGCACCAGCCGCCACTGGGTTCTATCATATTTATCCGATTTAATGAATTTCAATTCCCTCTCAAACCCTTTCCTCCAAGTTGGACCCAGTATTGAAAAGACAACAACGCGTGTTGCAGAGAAGCTGGCCGAGGCCACGCGGAAGTTCGCGGCGCTTCAGAGCGAGCTGTCGGGGGGCCACGTGGGCAGCGTGCATGCGGTGACTGTGCTGCCGCAGAAGAAGATGCAGGAGCTGCGCCTGGCCTTCAGCGAGTTCTACTTGAGCCTCATTCTTCTGCAAAACTATCAGAATTTGAATTTCACTGGGTTCCGCAAAATTCTCAAGAAACATGATAAGGTAAGCAAGTTTCTAACAGTTCAGAGATTTCTTTCTTAAAAACTTTGCGTGAGCGTATAATTAAATTTTTAAGAGAAAATAATTTGAGGTTTTCTATTGATTTTACTTTCTCGTATACGTACTTGTACATATAACAAGTGAGTGAATATAATATATAATACATGCATACACACGTAGTACAGAGAACGTTATATAATGCAGAGGAAAATCGATTTCGAGATGCCAAAGCAAATACACGTTTTGGTGTCACCAGATGCCGAAAATTTTTCACTTTAAAGTACGTAATATGTGGAAAGTTACGTAATTCTGCGGATTTTCGGCAGAAAAAATTCATTACTGGGACTGACAACGAACTAGTGGTGCTACAGAATGGCACAGACTGGCACAGACTTTCCCGTATTAGTTTTCTATTTCCTTTGGTCTTAGCTAGCTATTCGAACTAGTTACATACTCTTGCCTGCTGCCATCTATAACCGTCAAAAATATATTTTTTTGAAATTTTAAAAATTTTTCGCTTTGCAAATAATAGAAAGGAAATATTATTTTACGAATACTCACGAACAGTAAAACTGTGCCCTAAATGGCAATTTTCTTTGACACATTTGTGGCCGTTTTTAAGAAAATGACGCTTACGCACTACAGTATATTCGGCATTTGAAGCACTTTTTCACAGAAAAATTTGAGTTTTGGAGAAACTTCATTAGAAGTCATTTGAATCACATTGACTCACAAATACAACAGTGTCTACAAATTGCTGGAAAGGTGCATATTACCGGCGTGAGAGAGATTTAAAAAATGTGTAATTTTTGAGAGAGAAAAATAAATGAACTTAACGTCTTATTTAAGTGTGCAATTAGCACTATCTGATCAAAACGTTGGAAGAATTACGAAATTTTGAGCTCGTTTTGACAGCAAAAGTTGTTTTTGAGAATATTTTTGGCACATAATTTAAAGCACATGTACTCATAAATCCAATAATGTGAGCAAATTGTTGCTAATGCAAATATTAACAACGTGAGAGAAGAGTCAAAAAAATTACATTTTTGTAATTTTTGAAAAAACTATATGGCGTTTATGTCATCTTATAGAGCGCATTTAGCACAATCCGTACCAAAAGTTTAAAAAAAGAAATATGGAGCGGTTTTTGAGAAAATATTGATTTTGTAGTTTTTAAAATTGCACAAATTGAACGCGATATTGTGAAAACTACTAAGATTTTCAAAAAACGTACATGACCTTAATGAAAGAACAAATTATCGACAACAAATTTTATTTGAAGAAGAAAACCTCTATCTTTAATTTTGTAGTTGAAGGAAACCCCCGAAAAATTCAAACTTTTGAACTCTTCGAAAATTCAGAGTTAACAGTGAAAATCGGACCTCTGCCACATTTATAATTGCAATTTACTCTATTCTTATAAAAAATTGAAAGAAAAAATTTGGAGCCATTTTCGAAAAAAAAATTGAAAATGTCCCAGGGCTTCATGTAAAGTACCCCCAAAAACTAATGAATGATTTTCAAAATCACAGAGTTTCGATTCAGCCCACATGGACAGGGGTTCCTTCAAAACATCTTTTTCTTTGGAAAAAATCCTTCGCGTGTTTTAAGCGCTAGTGTGGTCCACGAACACCAGACGGACGGACGTTTTTGAAGAAAAAACACTTTTTTCAGTATCAGGGGGCCCCAACACGTATTTTCGTTGAAATCGGGAAATCGATTTTTCGCTGCATTGCATAACTTTCCCTATACTATGTATATCACTCCCTATATACATAAAGTTCCCCCACAAAAAGTGGTGGGTGAAATTCTCTTTCCAACCGTCTAGACTCACTTACACACCCTTCGATTGGGGGGAGAGGCGCGTTGTCCAATCGCTACATCAGAAGTGAAAAATATATCTGAGTGGGGTTTTCCGTCCAGAATTACTGTCAATAGACCAGTAATTATTCAGCAATTTAGCAACAATTATACTTTTAGCAATTTGTCACTCTTTTAAATTGCTATATTAAAATGTTAATCTCAGGCACGATTTTCAGATCCTTTCTGGCAGTTCTAGCTCAAATTTCAAATTTGTTTATAAATTTGTAAATTGTTGCAAAATTGTTAATTCGCGGTTTTCGGTACAGGAACATCGGGAGACTGTCCCCCTTTTAGATCTGCAAAAGTTGGAAATTGTTTATCAATTTTTTATTGTTTCCCCTTTTTATTATTAACCCCTTTAAACGCAATACAAAATTCCGCAAACCTATGGGTGCTATCATCTTCCGATCTCGAGGTACATAATTGTTTATTAGAACTTAGCATTTCGTAATCACCCCCATCTTTTGCACTCATTCCATTCACTCTCCGCACACAAGTATACTGCAAAGAAATGTTTACAATATCTCGCTTCGATTGTTCGCTTCATATACTCAATGCTGAGGGCAAATCGCGGCCTCGGTAGCGCCTCGGGGCGATAAACGGTGCCGGGAGCGAAATGATGGTCTTTACTATTTCTTCGAGAAAGAAAGAAAGAAAGCCGAGAGAGGAGAGAAAGAGGAAAAAAAAAAAAAATAAAAAAAAAGTAGAGGAAAAGGAAAAGAAGAAGAAAAAAGAAAAAAGGAAAGAAAAAGGAAAGGGAAAAAAAAAAGAAAAAAAAGGAAAGTAAACAAGAACAAAGAAAAAGAAAGAAGAAAAAAAAAAAAAAGAAGAGAAAGGAACAAGAAGAAAATAAAGGAAAGAAAAGAAAGAAGAAGAAAAAAAAAAAAAAAAAAAAAAAAAAAAGAAAGAAAAAAGAAGAAAGAGAAAGAAGAAAAAAAGAAAAGAAGAAAAAAAAGAAAGAAAGAAAAGGGAAAAAAAAGAAAAAAAAAAAAGGAAAAAAAAAAGAAAGAAAAAAAGAAAGAGAAAGAAAGAAAACAAAGGAAAGAAAAAAGGAAAGAAAAAAAGAAAAAAAAGGAAAAGAAAAGACAAGAAAGAAAGATAAAGAAAAAGAGAAAGAAAGAAAGAAAGAAAGAAAGAAAGAAAGAAAAGAAAAAGAAAGAAAGAGAAAGAAAAGAAAGAAAAAGAAAGAAAAGAAAGAAAAAAGAACAAAAGAAGAAAGAAAGAGAAAGAAAGAAAAAAAGAAAGAAAGAAAAGAAAGAAAAAAGAAAGAAAGAAAAAAAAGAAATAGATAAGAAAAAGAAAAAAAAAAAGAAAGAAAAAAAGAAAGAAAGGAAAGATGTTAACGTTAATTGATATTTTGTGACTATTGAAGTAACAATTTCCAGTCTTGTTCCACGTCAACATTCAACCTTTCCTTTTTTATTCTACAGGACATTCTA